ACTTGTTTCTGACAAAAGTGCGAATCCGCACTGATGTCAGATGTGGAATGGTATATGTGGCTTGATTTCCAACTTTGATCAACCATTCACGAACTTGAGTTCTGTCAACGCAAAAGATGTCTGTGACATCTTCGTTGAACTGGTGCACGCCGTTGCGTTGGAGGCATTTCGAGTCACCGGGACAATTTCCCTCGACCTCGCGCGTGTTGGCTTGGTCGTTGCTCGCTGCACAGGTCACGACGTATGCTTGATCAGAGCCTGTCTGGCCGACGCGGCTGCAGTAGGCTGCAATAATCGCTTACGTTAGTCGATAGTTCGAGCAATGGGAAAGCTGCTTGTGACTCAGTGGAGGAGATGGACTTGCTCCGCTCACCTTGGTCGAATTTCCAAACTCCACCTCGCGGTCGAGTGCGTATGCCTCGACACACTCCAATCGTGAACATACTGGCAGTCTTGCGTTTCACAAGAGCGGTATGAACAGCTTCATCCGTTCAATTATTCGGGTCCAGATTCGTGTCGCCCAGCACACCGGATTCGACAGGTATAGCAAAGGCCCAGGTCGAGAAATGGAGGGCCAGGCTGAGAACGGAAAGGTATGGCAAACGCATTGTGTTGCAACTTGAGATGATGGAGGCTGGGCTCTTGATTGATCTGCTCTCACTTCTCGCCTTTTATGTGTTTGCGAGAACAGTCACTACACCGCGCTCCGTGCCCGATGCAGGTCGCATGTCAGCGGAAGAGCTGGAAGATGGCATCGACAACCTGTTCAGCCGTGTTATTTCTGTACAATCTCCTCAGTGCACTCCCGACACGAGAATTCGCATGGTGAACAGACTTCGTCCAGTTGGATCAGATTTTCGACTTCGTTCTTGTCTAGCCAACCATGCGGAGCATTTCTTGTAAGCATTCAAGACATCGTATCCGGCCGAGTCTGATTGTTTTTGCGGCCAGACACAAGGGGTAAGCCCAAGGAGCCTAGTATCATGGAGCAGCATTCTCAATTGGCAACATCGTCGACACGGCTCGATGGCCTAATGTCGCACTAGAGAGAGACAGGGCGCTGAGACGGAATCGAATCGCACAGTGTCGAGTGTTAGTCATCGGATGAACCAGTACTTACATTCGACATTGAGGTATTGCCTACTTCTTAGACGGCACCGGAAGTCGTAGCAAATCCAGCAAGGAACAAGCTACACGGGACAGGATAGACGGCCATGGGAGGAGCGCCAAGAACTTGATACTTTTTGTCCAATGTCCAGATACGACGGTTACGACGGTCTGACTGCGTATGAAGAACGCGAGACAGGCCATATATCGATTCATGGGCTTTCATACCGATTCCGACGACCGAATCTAGCCCATTCTCCACGTGGCTGTCATTGGCTGAGGCTGCTCGAAGTGTGAATGAGAGCATCCAGTCCGTTAGATATCTGGCGGAGTTAGCCAAAAGAATATCGCGGTCCAAAGTTGAGCTTATATCCGTGGGTTCCGCGTATAGTTTTATGGTTATAGATGCTGATGTTCTTCAGTAGCACCAACGACGCGGGCAGGGCTGCGGACTTGTAGTCTCTCCAAATTCCGGCGATCCGGGTGCCGGAGCAGGTGTGTGGTTGTGTGCTCAATTGGGCTGAGGCGTAAGACGGCGAGGAAGCTTTCGATGTTGGAGGCAGGGATTGTGATGTGAAAGTAGCAAAGTGAAGTCTAAGGTCGCAGGATTACGTTCCGGCCGCCAATGCGAACACTTTACGCGCGATCCTCAGAGGCTAAAGCCGTGGTCATGGACTACCACAGTTGACTTGCCGTCGGAAGAGGACATCGAAGCCATGGTAGCGAGCAAATACTCTCATTCGATACACTCCCACCTACTCGAACACTGGCATCGACGGCGATGCCCGCAATGCGGAGGAGGCGGCCGCATAATCTTGCGTATAAGACCAACCACGACATCTGCCACTCAGACGCGAACCTGTCGCCAAAGCGCGTCTTCTCTCGTTTGGCGCCGAGATTGGTTTCTGTCCCGCGCCTGGCGAAGCGCATCTCTGCTACAACCCACAGCACAAACACCGCACAATGGACCGGCAATCAGTGTATACGCTCAGTCTCTTCGGCGAGGAGCAGAGCGTCAACGGAGATTCCACCAACAAGCAGATTCAGAAAGAGCTCGTCGCATTCGTGCTAGAATTTCACCTCGACGGCAACTACATCTACCGGTATGCTGTGGTCCTATATGGACGGCACAAGAGGAGCGCTGACATGTCTCAGTGACCAAATACGAGAGAATGTATTGTCCAAGCAATACTACTGCGACATCGACATCGCGCATCTGATCGCATTCAACGAAGAGCTTGCGAATCGGCTGAACAACGAGCCTGGAGAGATCATACCCATCGTACGCAGCAGCATTCGACCGCCTGCATTCACCTAGCTGACATAATTCAGTTCGAAGCAGCGCTCAAGACTTGCACACAACGCATCCTCTACCCCTCGCGCAGCAAGGAGGATCTCGACCTCGCGAAAGCTCTCCCGGAGCACCAACTCCTGATTCACTCCTCCGTTTCGCAGACTTCGATACGAGGCCTCACAGCGACGAACGTATCACATCTCGTCCGAATACCCGGTATCGTCATCGGTGCCAGCACACTCAGCTCCAAAGCCACCGCCGTTCACATTCAGTGCCGAAACTGCCAGCACGAGACCAACATCCCAGTCACGTCTGGCTTTTCGGGAATCACACTGCCGCGAACGTGTGGAAGAATCAAGGCGCCAGACGACGGCGGCGACAAATGCCCACTAGACCCATATTTTGTCGTGCACGAGAAATCACAATTCATTGATCAGCAAGTATTGAAGCTGCAGGAGGCGCCGGACGATGTGCCTGTTGGTGAATTGCCTCGCCATATCCTGGTCAGCGCTGACCGTTATCTCGCCAATCGAGTGGTGCCAGGAACAAGATGTGTCGTGATGGGTGTGTTCAGCATCTACGCCAGTCAGAAGAACAGCAAGAACAGCGGAGCAGTGGCAATCAGAAACCCATACCTTCGTGCTGTGGGTCTGCAGACCGATGGCTCGCAGAACCAAGCCACAGGCATGGGCATTCAGTTCAGCGAAGAGGAGGAGCAAGAGTTCCTGGAGATGTCGCGACGACCGGACATATACAATCTGTTCGCAGACTGCGTTGCGCCCTCCATCTATGGCAACGCCGATATCAAGAAGGCTATTACATGTCTGCTCATGGGTGGCAGCAAGAAGATTTTGCCGGACGGGATGAAACTGAGAGGAGACATCAATGTGCTTCTCTTGGGTGATCCAGGTACAGCAAAGTCGCAACTTCTCAAGTTCGTGGAGAAGTGCTCGCCAATCGCAGTGTACACTTCGGGCAAAGGTTCATCGGCAGCAGGTCTGACAGCCTCTGTCCAGCGCGACACCAACACGCGCGAATTCTACCTGGAAGGCGGAGCCATGGTTCTTGCGGATGGCGGCGTGGTTTGCATTGACGAATTCGACAAAATGCGCGACGAAGATCGAGTAGCCATTCACGAAGCTATGGAACAGCAGACCATCTCGATCGCCAAAGCCGGCATCACGACGATCTTGAACTCGCGAACGTCAGTTCTCGCTGCAGCCAATCCCATTTTCGGGCGATACGACGACCTCAAATCCCCTGGCGAGAATATCGACTTCCAGACAACGATTCTCTCACGTTTCGATCTCATCTTCATCGTTCGCGACGATCACGACAGAAACCGAGACGAGACAATCGCAAAGCACGTCATGGGCATCCATATGGGCGGTCAAGGCGTGCAAGAACAAGTGCATGCTGAGATCCCCGTCGAGAAGATGAAGCGATACATCAGCTACGCCAAATCGCGATGTGCTCCGCGACTCTCCCCTGAAGCCGCAGAAAAGCTATCCTCACACTTTGTGTCGATTCGAAGACAAGTGGCAAGAGCTGAGCAGGACGCCAACCAGCGAAGTTCCATTCCCATTACTGTGCGTCAACTAGAATCTCTAGTCCGTATTACGGAATCACTGGCGAAGATTGAACTTCAGCCTATCGCAACAGAGAAGCACGTTGACGAGGCCATCCGGCTCTTCCTGGGATCGACAATGGACGCTGTGATGTCTGCAGGTGGCGATACATCAGCTCTCGGACTGGGCGGAAACAGAGAACTTGTCGAGGAAGTTCACAAAGTCGAGGAAGAGCTGCGAAGAAGATTACCTGTGGGTTACACATCTTCGTTGGCAAATCTCCGGCGAGAATTCGTGGAAAGGAAGAACTACAGCGAGCAGAGCTTGAACCGAGCGCTGCAAGTACTAGTGAGGCGGGAGAGTATACAGTTTCGAAGAGGAGGGACGTTGGTGCATAGGAGTGGTTTTTAAATGTTGCATGCACTTGTTCAGATGCTAATGTGCTTGACGAGCGATGATATATCATTGGGTAGGGCGGCGTGATGGCGTTGTCGAGAGAAGCTGGAATGTTGATACTGGTGGCCTTGAGCAGAGCTACTGAATGAGCCAGTTCAATTTTAAGATGTGCCCTTCACGCTTTCTCAAACATCTTCGCATAGGTTTATTCGATGAGCATCGTATTTTGCCAAGGCTAGACTCTTGGCACGTCAAAAAAGTTCCAAAGCGGCGAGTCAAAGTTGCATGCGACATCGACACAACATGGCGACAACTAAACCTGTGCACACGGTCGTGCTAGACACTGGCGCTATTATCAAGAACGAGCCTCCTGTATCGACACTTTTGAGTCAAGCCGAGGAACTAGTCACTGTTCCTGCCATCATCTCAGAAATCAAGGATGCAGCTACTCGGCTTCGAGTCGAAACTACCCTGAAGCCTTTCCTGAAAATCAGGTCGCCGAACCCGACGAGTGTCAAGTTCGTGACTGACTTTGCGCGCAAAACGGGTGATCTTGCGGTATTGAGCAAGCCTGACGTGCAGATTATTGCTTTGACTTACGAAATCGAGTGTGAACGGAACGGAGGCGATTGGAGGTTACGGAAGGTGCCTGGGCAGAAAGGGTTGAATGGTGCACCGCCGACCAAGGAGACCACAGAGAATCAAGAAGGCGTGGAAACTCAGGCCGAGCAGCCGGTCACAGAGCAGACTGCTGAAGTGGCGAAGGGAAGCGATGAAGCAATTGACGCACAGCCCGAATCAGTGGCGCAAGAAACCGAAGCGGCAGCTACAGAAGCCACAGATTCTGTGCAGGAAATAACTGCTGAGCTGCAGAATGCAGATTTGGAGACGATCGAGCCTGTCGCATCTCCTGATGCTCCACAAGTCGACTCTGCCCAGAACTCTGCAGAAGATCAGGCTGAATCAGAATCAGACTCAGACTCTGAAGGCTGGATCACACCTTCGAACCTCAAGAAGAAACAAGCAGAAGATGCCGGAGCATCAACAGCGCAGACTCCAGAACCAAAGACCATGCAAGTCGGAGTCCTGACTTCGGATTTTGCCATGCAGAACGTGATACTGCAAATCAACTTGAACCTGCTATCGCCTTCGATGTCGCGAATCAAGAACTTGAAGACGTACGTTCTTCGATGCCACGCATGCTTCCATGTGTGCAAAGATTTGAGCAAGCAGTTCTGTCCACGATGTGGTCAGCCCACACTTACCAGAGTGTCGTGCTCTACAAGTGCCAACGGGGAATTCAAGTTGCATTTGAAGAAGAACATGCAGTGGAACAACCGAGGAAATCGGTACAGTGTGCCAAAGCCAGTGCATGGAACGGCGAATGGCAAGAACACTGGTGGTGGGAAGCAGGGCTGGGGTCACGATTTGATCCTCGCTGAAGATCAAAAAGAGTTTGAGAGGGCAACAGCACAGGAGCGAAGGACGAAGGAAAGGAGCTTGATGGATGAGGATTATCTCCCGAGCATTCTGACCGGCGACCGCAATCGAACAGGCGGGAGGACGCGTGTGGGAGCTGGGAGAAATGTGAACTCGAGAAAGCGATGAGATATGAACATGTTGACTCAGAAGTGTCTCAAAGTAAGGCTGGGTTTGGGCTGGCATTAGAGGCTCTGGCAAAGGCGTTTGGTGTTTTCGAAGGCCTCAAGAGCTTTGACGAGACTATGACCAAAACGATGTTGTCAAAGACGAGGTCTACATGGCTGGAGTCTTGGGTGACGATTGGAGTCAGAGCCCTTTGTAGTTTCGATCCAGGTGTTGAATTCATGTGAAGGTGGCGCACATGCGCGTTGCTAGTTCCTGCCTAACGTCAGGCAAGTAAAGACAAATGAAACATTGTCCTCACTCGACTTCGAGCTTGCCACGCGGGTACTCACATTTCAAAGACACCACAACAAATAAAGCCTTCTGCACATGTTCAAGAACCTACCGACCCTATTTCACACAACGTTCCGACCTTAACAGAGGAGACCTCAGAGCCATCGCGAACGACCTCGACGCGGATCGAGCCTGCAACCACGCCTTCCTCGCTACATCACTGTAGCAACGAGCTCACCCACCATGCCTTCCTCCTCAACCTACAGCACCTCCCAAGAGTCCCTCATCATCCAACACTACAAAATCATCGTCGCGCGCGTCTGGTCCGTCGGCTACGACAAAGCCGCCCAGACCATCACCGACTGGTACGCCGAGCTCCTCGAAGCCTCTCCCAATGCCCTCTGGACAGAAGCTCGTAGAGATCAGAAGTGGTGGGACGACATGTCAAAGTATTCGAACAAAGCCGGCAAGCCCAGATCGGATAGTGCGTACGCTGCGGGAAACTTGATGGCGGATTCGGCGGCTGTGCTGTTTCGTTTTGGGAGGGACGTGGAGGCTGCGAGGTTCTGCGAGTTCGCGGATAAGGTCTTCGATTGGGCGAGAGAGGAAGAGGAAGGGGAGAGGGGGAGCAAGACGTGGATGGTTTCGTCTTGAGGAACAGGCGGATGCTGAATGCTCACGATCTTGGAACGGAGGCCGCGAATTTGGAATGACAAGGAGGCTTGGGTTTCGAGAAGTCGCGAGGTCCTATCGAAAGCGCAAGCTACAAGAAGATGCCACCAGAAGGGCGCTGAAGTTCGTCATCGAACTCCTCTGAAACGCTGGGCAGTGACTACAGACTGTCGCCGGTACATCGGTGAGATGACTTACATTGGACATGAACAGAGAGCGATTGGAGGCCCTCATCGCTATGAGATGAACTTGAGAACGACTGCCTTCAAGAACATAGAAGTAGGACGGGCTCGCGCAACACATAGGTCGCAGCATGCCGCAGATATGTCCTGAAATGCACCTCTCTCCTCTACTCGCTCTTTCATTGCGCAGAGCAATTCCAATAGGACTCTTCAAAGTCTCCACAAGATATGTGATCCTTCAACGATATGTCCGGCACTTCTGACGCCGCCTACACAACCAGAAAAAATGCGTAGCCAGCTCTTATAGTACCAACAGTTCCCTTCTGCGCAACACGAAATCGTTAAGACAGCAATTGTAGAACCAAAGACCCAACATGACGCCGGGTCAGAAGCTTGCTGGCAACACTGTCTAATAGTTGCGGTATGTGATGAAAAAGAGGAAAAGCCGCGAAGTTCGTGGGAAGTTTTGAAGCATGGCGCTCGGACCCCGTCGGAGGTTAGTTTTGCCGACGCTACCAGTGCCAGTGCCATGCGATGCGAAATACTACTTCTGCATACATGTGCTGGTGCGGATATTCTATGGTGATGCCGGGCCTCCTCAGGCTTCACGGTATCGAGTTCTGAAGTGTTCGGTCTGACCAGGACGATCTGACACCTCAGACAACATTCCCAGACGTTCCCGATTCAATCGGATAAGCTACGTCACCTCGATCCGGACGTCGGGAGCATGCCGCCGATACCACAGTTCACTGAACAGTCGAACATTGACCAACGCGCACACAACATGTCGGATCGACTTGCAGATCCCGGGAGACGACTGTCAAAATGGCTGTGAATGTTGAACAAGATCCAGTAAGTGCCGCAGCCTTGTGGTTGAAGTGCTACAGATGCCTGAGGACATAGAAGCTACTGGCAGCTTCCATCTCTCGACGCATGTGACGAGGTGTGGGTGGGACCTGCCATGCTTTCGCTTTCATGAATGCGTTGCAGTTGCCAGCCACTCTCTCCACAACCTTCGTGCAACGAACGAGCATTGAATTACCTTTTCACTTCTACACAACGACCCAATCACATCGCAACCTTCATTGCCATTGGCGTCTACAACACACAGGCTTTCGCCTTGTTTACTTCGATCGATCAGCCTCACTTCTTGACACTGCGATTCCGAACATACGACACCCGCAAACATGCCAGCCGATACGAAGCTGTACGATCGACTAGGAGTGTCTTCTAGCGCTACAGCTGAGGAGATCAAGAAGGCATACCGGAAGCAAGCATTGAAGAACCATCCCGACAAGAACCCAGCAGGTGCGGAGAAGTTCAAAGAGGCCTCGGAAGCATATGAGATCTTGTCGGATCCTGAAAAGAGACGAAACTACGACAACTATGGCTACGACTTCATAACAGGCCAAGGGCCGCCTCCACAAGAGGCAGGTGGTGAGAACCCATTTGCTGGCGGTGGAGGGTTCGGCGGAATGCCTGGAGGATTTGGAGGCATGGGAGGAGGGCCTGGTGGTGCGCGAACATTCCATTTCAGCACAGGTGGAGGCAGAGGAGGAGGATTCGGTGGCTTCAGCGATCCCAAGGACATATTCGCGGAATTCATGCGAGGAGGCGGCGGCTCGATGGGTGGAGGAGATGATGATGACTTCTTCTCAGGCTTCGGCGGAAGTCCGTTCGGCAGTGCAAGACCCTCCGGTGGACGCAACGGTAGCTCACAATTCAGGCGGCGAGAGCCCGAGCCTGAGACGACAGTCGTGGAGAAGCCGTTGCCCGTGTCATTGGAAGAGATGTACAATGGTGCACAGAAGAAGCTCAAAGTACAGCGGAAGACCTACGACGCGCAGACCGGCAAGCAGAACACAGAGGACAAGATTCTCAGTGTGCCCATCAAGCGTGGTCTCAAAGCAGGGAGTAAGATCAAGTATCCCGACATGGGCGACCAAGTCGAAGGCGGAACGCAAGACCTTCACTTCATCATCAAAGAAAAGGCGCATCCGCTTTTCACACGTGATGGCGATGACATTAAGCACACTGTTGAAATCAGCTTGAAAGAGGCTCTCACAGGCTGGAACCGCAAAGTTCAAACGATTGATGGAAAGCAATTATCTGTGTCGAGTGCCGGACCTACAAACCCGGATTGGACAGAACGCTTCCCTGGCCAGGGTATGCCTAAGAGCAAGACACCTACAGTGCGAGGTGACTTTATTGTTGGTGTGAAGATCAAGTTCCCGACAAGTCTTACACCACAACAAAAGCAGCAACTCAAAGAGGTTCTACCATAAACGAGAACAAGAATTACAGCGGTTGATATGATTTTGGTATGAGTGATTTCCAGCATGGCGTGGCGTTGGTAGGAGGATTTTCCCCAGAGCTGCCCCCGTTGCAGCGGGCGGCCAATTGTTGGCGTTCCAGCGCGGTTGTGCAGATACGATGCAATGCAGTATTAGCATAGATGATAATGAATAAGAAGCATGACAAGCAACTTGAAATGCCCAATTTTTCCTATATCTTACAGAACTTTCTACCGGAGAAGACCAGAATTCTCAAGTCCTGTAGTCGCCGTTAATGGTCACATACTCGTGACTGAAATCACAAGTCCAAAACACAGCTTCATGTGTCATACGTTCCTTTCCATCATCGTTGATGGCTGGCTCATCACGGTCTTCCAACCTGACGAGAATTTCCAAATCTTCCATTTCGAGAATCTCTTTCGCACGCACCTCGTCTACGTCTTGTGGTTCGCCTCGGACCAACAGCTTGAGTTCCTCGGATCCATCTGCAGGAATGAAAGACACCGAAGTCATTGCAGGCTCGACTTGGTGGAGTTTATCATAGGGAATCTTGGTCTTTGTGCGAATCATCATTCCCTTGGTGAGGTCTTTGCGGGAAATGGTTTGCGAGGACATGATACCTGGGGCGTAGCCGATTGCGCAGAGAATGCGGCCCCAGTTGGCGTCTTTGCCGTAGAGGGCTGTTTTGACCAGAGCCGAGCGGGCGATGGAAACTGCGGCTCGTTTGGCGGTGACTTTGGAGACGTCGGATCGTACGCGGATTGTGACGAATTTTGTAGCGCCTTCACCATCGCGGACGACGAGTTTGGCGAGGTCTTTGAGGAAGTCGCTGAGAACTTGTTCGAAGGTGGCCATGTCTGGTGACATATCTGGTCTGACGAAGCGTCTGTCGGGGTTGCGGGATTTGTATTGCTGGAATGGGTTCGGATCTTTGAAGGTGTAGGAGAGTGGTTTGGCATCGGCTGGTGCAGCGGCTCCGTTGGCGAAGAAGGCGAGCGTGTCGTTTGTGCTGGTGTCTCCGTCGATGGAGATGCTGTTGAACGAGTCGACGACGGTTTTTTGCAGGAGGAAGGGCATAGATTCTGAGTCGATCTTGGCATCGGTGCACACGATGGCAAGGAGAGTTGCCATGTTCGGGTGGATCATGCCTGCACCTTTGGTCATGCCGGCGATGGAGTATGTGGTGCCTGGGGATGATGGTAGAGTAAATTGTCGAGAGATGAGCTTTGGAAATGTGTCGGTCGTGCAGATGGCATTCGCCGCATTGAGCCAATGCTCGTGAGTGTTGCCAATGTTCGATTTCAGCTTGGGGATGGCACTGGTGATTTTCTCGATGGGTAGCTTCTGGCCAATGACGCCTGTGCTCATGACGAGTGTTGATGGGCTTTCCTGGTTCTCGCCGTTGTTGAATGCACCGTCAGTCGTTCTGGCCATGATCTCGGCGTGTTCTCGACCTTCCACGCCTGTCACCGCATTGGCACATCCGGAGTTGACAACCACGCCTCGGAATCCTTGGGAGGGACTTTTACGCAGCAGTTGTTGGGACACCTGCACTGGGGCAGCTTTGAAGATGTTCTGTGTGAATACCGCTGTTGCGGGACATGGCTCCTCAGACACGACGAGAGCCAGATCGTCGTATTTTGTATTACTCGCTTTCACGCCAGCAAAGGCGCTACCGGCCAGAAAGCCTTTCGGATAAGTGCCAGACGTAGGTACATATTTCTGTTTCGCCGCGGGAATGGTTCTGTCTGCAGGCGCTGAATATTGGCGGACTTGCACTGCTGCGGCAAGCAGTCTTCTGGCTGCTGTGCCCTTGGGGGCCATGTTTACGGCAAAGGCAAAACGAGGTGGAATTGTATCAAATTGAGATCAAACCAATGACAAGTCCAGACTGTGTTGTGTCAGTGTCGACACGGCACCGTAAGCTGAAGTGGCTGCTCGTATTATAAAGGCCACTGATGCCGTGATGTTGAGTCAATGGCAGACTCATGGCCATTTCTGATACGCAGCTTCCCGCCTCGCGCGACTTTCAATGGTGGTCCCGAAGTTTGTCCGATATCTGGCCATCGACTCGAGCTCTGCCTCCAAAGTGATCACATGTCACCATCGGCTGGTGGGTAATGTTCATCAACACCGCTCGCTGCTTGTTCAAAGGCGCTGGAACGCCGCTTCGTTCATTCTCCACCGGTAGATCGCTGCGAGCCATCAAAATGGAAAAGGTCGACACCACCGAACGCCTGAAGGCGCTTCGATCGCTCATGAGCCAGCACAAGGTAGATCTCTACAGTATGCTTGATCATTTCATATATGCAGTGATGGCTGACTGACGAACGATAGTCGTGCCATCTGCCGACGCACATTCCTCCGAATACATAGCGCCCACCGATGCGAGACGGGAATACATCTCCGGTTTCTCTGGCTCAGCGGGAACGGCCATCATCACACAAACGAAGGCTGCTCTAGCCACAGATGGACGCTACTTCAACCAAGCCAGCCAGCAGCTCGACGGCAATTGGGACTTGCTCAAGCAAGGTCTGCAAGATGTACCAACGTGGCAGGAGTGGACAATTGAGCAAGCAGACGGCGGCAAGACTGTTGGCGTAGATCCCACAACGATTACCGCTACAGAGAGCAGAAAGCTGGCTGAGAAGATCAAGAAGAAGGGCGGCAAGGAGCTCGTCGCCGTCGCTGAGAACCTCATCGACAAGGTATGGGCCAAGGAGAAGCCCGCGCGCCCCAACGAGCCTGTGCGTGTTCTGGGGCTGGAGTACGCTGGCAAAAAGTACCAGGAGAAGATTGAGGAACTGAGGAAAGAGCTGGACAAGAAAAAAGCTGCCGGCTTTGTTGTCAGCATGCTCGACGAGGTGGCATGGCTCTTCAACTTGCGCGGCAATGACATCCCATACAACCCTGTCTTCTTCTCCTATGCTGTGGTCACACCAACTACAACAACGCTCTACATCGACGAGAGCAAACTTCCCGATGACGCGAAATCCCATCTGAGCGGAGTCCACATCAGACCGTACGAGGACATCTTCTCGGACATTGCCACGCTTGCTGCAGAGCAGTCCACGGCGGTCAACGGAGGCGAGGAAAGTGCGCCAAAGAAGAAATTCCTGATCTCGACTGCAGCGTCCTGGGCGTTACAGCGATCACTGGGAGGCGAGGAGAACGTCGATGAGGTGCGATCACCCATCGGAGATGCAAAGGCCATCAAGAATGCGACAGAACTTGAAGGCATGCGGCAATGCCATATTCGTGATGGCGCAGCACTCATCGAATATTTTGCCTGGCTTGAGCACCAACTCACAGTAGAGAAGGCAGAGGTCGACGAGGTTGCTGCTGCGGACCAGCTAGAGGCGATTCGCAGCAAGCACGATAAATTTGTTGGGCTGTCCTTTGATACGATTTCTTCCACGGGACCCAATGCCGCAATCATTCATTACAAGCCTGAGCCAGGAAGCTGCTCCGTCATCGATCCTGCTAAGATCTACCTCTGCGACTCTGGCGCACAATACCTCGATGGCACGACAGATACGACACGGACACTGCATTTCGGCACCCCCGACCCGAAGGAAATCGAGACATACACACTAGTATTGAAGGGCAACATTGGTCTCGAACTTGTGGTCTTTCCTAAAGGTACTTCCGGATTCGCTCTCGACATGCTTGCGCGGCAATTCCTGTGGCAGAATGGTCTCGAATACCGTCACGGTACCGGCCATGGTATTGGCAGCTTCCTAAACGTGCATGAAGGTCCGATTGGCATTGGCCAACGCATCCAGTACTCAGAAGTGCCACTATCTGTCGGCAACGTCATCTCTGATGAACCAGGCTACTACGAGGACGGCAACTTCGGCATTCGGATCGAGAATGTGATCATGGTGAAAGAAGTCGAGACAAAGTACAAATTCGGTGACAAGCCATACTTTGGATTCGAGCATGTGACAATGGTGCCGCTCTGTCGCAAGCTGGTCGATGTCTCGCTGTTGACGCAGAAGGAGCTGGACTACATCAACGCCTACCACAAGGAGGTATGGGAAAAAACGAGTCCCTTCTTCAAGAACGACGAGAAGACGCTCAAGTGGCTAGAGCGGGAATGTCAGCCATACTAGAGCTACAACTCTCGCTTTACCTCGCAAGTTCTCCGCCAGAAGAACGTGGCAGCAGAGCGAGACTTTCAGACGTCGATGCCCCGTCAACGGTGATCCTCAGAAAGGCATGAAGTGCCAGAAAGTTGCGTCTGGGCTGCATATAGAGACATCAAGCATGTCGTTCTTCGGAACATCTCGCCTGCCAAGCATTACCGAGGCTCAGCTTCTGAACCCTGCCCGGCCGCAACTTCCACTCTCCCACTCCCACTCTTGACTGAGGCGCCGCGCTTTGCGCGTGTTGATATTTCACAACTCATAGGACTCTCACTTCTCTTCTAGCCATGATACAATAGAGTAGAGACCCGGCACCTTTCCTTACACTCCCAACGAGACATTCCTTATCCCACCCTCAAGATCGCTGACCACCATGGCACCGGGTGACTCCACAGCCTCATTCCGACGCATACCATGGACCGCACGACTCCTCGATAGTCCCAATGTGATCGCTCGCGTGCCGAACTCTCGACTCCCCAAACGCGACACCGAAGACAGCCTCTACGCCGAAATTCTCAAAACCGACCGCACGATTCGAAATTGTATAGTCGTCTATCGCAAATCCACCAGTCCTGAAGATGAAATCTCAGAAGCTACAACATTGTACGAAGTCGGCGACGGAATGAACGGACATCCTGAAATCATACACGGAGGGATCACAGCGACGATGATCGATGAAAGTATGGGGATTATGCAAATGGAGAATCTTGAGCGAAAGAGGAGGAAAGAGAAAGAAGTTGCCGAAGAGGAGAAGAGGGAGCCTTCGGAGGGGTTGAGTGCTTTTACGGCGTACTTGAATGTGCAGTATTTGAAGCCTGTGAGGACACCGAGTGTGATTGCGGTTACGGCGAGGAGGGTTAGGAAGGAGGGGAGGAAAGAGTGGGTTGTTGCGGAGTTGAAGCAGTGGCATGGGGATGAGGGGACGGGAGAGGTTGTGGTTTGTGCGAAGGGGGAGTCGTTATGGATTACGCCGAAGGCGAAGGAGTATAGTAAGCTGTGAGGCCCGAGATGTGTCTCAGTAAACTTCTCTTCGAAAAAGACAGCGGAACAGAGAATTGGAAAGCGAAAGAGCTGGATACTATGATCTGCGAGGATTTGCAATGCGGGCTATCGTTCCACGGCATGCTCTACGCTGGAGCTAGTGCAAGCTCAAGTGCAATGGCTTGATTTGAGCAGCAGAGTTGCACTGTTGAAGTGGCGTAGCCCTCACTCCTCTCGCATTCCTAAAGGCCGTGCTCGTTGTTAATTCATGAGCGAGCCATTCGAGACAAGTTTGTATAATTTGGCGCGTTGACATGGGATCAACGACCAATCAACGAGAATGGTGAACGCGCTGCTCGCACATCGCGACAACATAGTCGCTGAAGGCTGCTTGTTCAACTTCCTCCAGCGCCTCCCGCAATGCTGTGAAGCATCACCCACTCCAACCAAAGCCCAACATACTTCCGAGGCTCATCCCACGCGAGCTAGTCCCACGAGCTTGCATGATAGCAGATCCTTGGCATAGCGCGTGGCTGTTCGTCGTCATCGCGAACGACACGGGAAGCAACGATCACAGTACAACACAGCAGCAACCACAACAGCAACCAGCTTTGGACATGCAATCCGCATATACATAACTTCATCAGCTGCATTACGTTTGCTACCCCGACATAAGATACGCACTGTCTATCTGCGAACCAGATAGAGCCATTCCTCTTTGAGAAGGAACAGCCGAGAGCATCGTCAATCTCGCAGGTCGCTACTTTGTGCCCAGATGTGCGGAGGTCTTGCTTGGCCCATCCTTTGGCCGGGGTTCTTATCATCCTTTGCTGCTTGCTTTAGGTTTGTCGCGTGGTTCTTGATCTCTTTGCTTCTTCTTGCTGTAATATCACCTTATTGAGAAGCAGAAGATTACTGCCTTGAACACAAGGGCGGATTCACAAGACGAAATGGACATCGAAGCCGACCAGGATAACAAGTCTGACAGGAAGAACTCCGTCCAAAGCGTCAACGATGCGCACGATCTTGCAATCCTTGGCCATGTCGAGGAACTTACGAGGAAATTCGACCCATGGTCTATGCTGGCTCTGGCTTTCAGCATTCTAGGAACGTGGAGCACATTAGCAGTCGGTTTATCTTCTGGCCTTGCCAATGGCGGACCCGTCTCGATCCTTTGGGGCTTTATTGTCGTCTTCATTTGCAATATATGTATCGCTCTTTCGCTGGGAGAACTCTGCAGTGCTATGCCGACGGCTCTCGGCCAGGCATATTACATTCATCGACTGTTTGATACGCCTGTGGGACGATTCTCTAGTTACATGTGTGCGTGGATCAATACCTTTGGGTGGTGGACTTTGACGGCTAGTCAGGCGGCTTTCATGACTGAGTTTATGCTTGGTATGAAAGTCATGTTTGATACTGAGTGGAGTGGGGCTGGCAAAGGATGGGTCCAGTTTCTGGTCTACTTGGGTGTTATTCTGGCTTTCACGGCGACGAACGTTGTGGCTTGCCGCAAGGACAAGATTTTGCCCATCTTCAACGATGTTATCGGACTTTGGTACATCGCGCTATTCTTCATGATCTCGCTCGCACTGTTGATCTCCGTGGGCACTCGAGACGGGATGTCATTCCAGCCGGCGTCCTTCGTGTTCGGGAGATGGCTCAACGGAACTGGTTGGCCTACTGGTGTCGTCTGGTTCACGGGTCTCCTACAAGGCGCATACGCCCTAACCGCATTTGACGCTGTGATTCATATGATCGAAGAATTGCCAGAACCACGCAAGAATGCACCAAGGATTGCATGGCTCGCGGTTTCGCTTGGAGCGGCTACTGGATGGATCTTCATGGTGGTCTGCCTCTTCTGCATCCAGGATCTGGAGACTGTCATCGATGGCCCGACGGGTCTCCCTTTCAGTGATTTGGTTCTACAGACTATTGGAAGGACAGGTAGCTGCGTGCTGTTGTCTCTGCTGGTCGTCAATGGCCTAGGACAAGCTGTTAGTATGGCTACGACTGGCAGTCGTTTGACCTGGGGTTTCGCTCGAGACGCAGGAATCCCATGGAGTGGATACTTCTCCAAAGTCGATCCATTCTGGAAGGTGCCCGCAAGAGCTCTTTGGCTGCAGGGAGCACTTATCGCATTGGTCGGGATCCTCTACCTATTCGCAAACACGGTCTTGGAAGCCATTTTCAGCGTCGCCACTATTGCTCTGACCATCTCGTACGGCATGCCTATTCTTGCTCTGGTATTGGCTGGTCGTGACAAATTGCCCGCTGGTGGGACATTCAAGCTAGGGAAGCTGGGCCCTCTATGCAACTGGGTGTCGGTCATCTACTGTAGTATCACCACCGTGTTCTTCTTCTTTCCAGGGGAGCCGAACCCAGCTCCGGCGGACATGAATTACGCCATCGCGGTATTTGGCGTCATGTTGGTCATCTCTCTGGCTTTCTGGGTCATCAAGGCCAGACGAACATATCTGAAGTCGGATGATGCCGCTATGCGGATTGAGCTCGCGCGAGAGCTGGAGCAGAGGGAACTGGTGAATCCAATAATTGAGACTCACAAGCCGGTAGTAACCTGAGCTCGGCTCTAAAACGTTTTAATGATACATGTATATCTGCTTTCCTTCCCCGATTCATCCCCTGGGTCTGTGGCTGACGTGGTGCTGACTGATGCACTCACGAACAGCTTGTCAGTGCCAGCAGGAGTCCGATCCATCGGCGCCGAGCAAGATGCTAACATGACTGGCAGCGGTCTCATGCGGAGACGAGAGAAGTGATACAATGGTGGTGAAAGCAGCTCATGGAAGGCGCGCGTCTAGAACACTTGCTCACTTCACCCACGAAAGCACACAAGACGCAGGTCCAACACAAAACCTCCTCGAACCGCTGTCGAAAACAACTCGCACCTTCGCTTCACCACTAACATCGCGCCTTCAAACCGCTACTCGCCTCCTCCACCAGAACAAACAAACAAGCGCACTAACCTGGACCCTCATCGCTGCCACAGCACCGCCCCTCAGCCCCTCCCTCCCTCCCGCTGAGCATTCATAAACCAAGGCCCCGCGGTCCCCTCCAAGCTTCCTGAGTTAGCTCAGTTGGAATCGCCCTCCCAACAGGCGTTTGTGGAAAACGCTGAAGTCGCAGTTCGAACTTCAAACCACAGCATTTCCAATGAGTTCGCGGGATATAAACGACTCCGCGGTTAGAACGAAGCCCCCTTCTTTTTTTTCTTTTGCTGGGGCAGTTCGACTATTCCAAAAAGGCAGTCGCGAGTGGGGTGATTTGAGGGTTTTGTTGGTGTTCGAGGGGGAGTGAGAGGGTCGCGGGTTGGTCACCCTCTACTCTACAAGTGCGCCGCGTTGCGGCTGGTTGGCTTCGAGTGTTGCTTGATCGCTCGCAGGTCGCGATTCTTGTCGTTTCTACTAGAGCTCGTGTGCCTGACGCGTAAAGATGTTCTGCTCAGGTTTCTCGTGGAATGGCACAGCGGTAGAAGGAGTAGTGGGTGAGCCATAATATTGAATTGCAGTCTCCATTCACATCATGTCTCATAGAACCGCTCAAATAAGTGATTGCCATTCATTTCATGGAAACTGATTCTCGTCGCCGACTCTGCTGGCGACCCCCACTGGAAGGCCGTCCTCAAGAGCAATTCTTCCCGTCAGCCTTGCCTGCAGAACTTGCTCCCTGTCCACTTCATCGCCAATTCGGCTCGACAGCCTTCCACTCCCACAGCATCGCCCTTGATAGTGTCTGCCAACACCACTCGATGCAGCTCTTCCACACCTAACATGTCGCCGTCTCCGTTGCTAGCAAAGCAGGTGGATCTCCATGAAATGCTCCGTCCAGACGCGGCTTTCTGCCTATACAGCGCTTAGGCATTCGTCGCGACGCAATCTGTTGCGTCATGTCTGAGAAGGGCGCGATACAGGTCTTGCGCCCTTCATACCAGACTGGAATCTTCCGGACCTTTCGGAGCCTCGCACGGTGAGCAGTGATGGATTACATTATGCAATCTCGCCCCCGCTGCTTTTGGATCTTGACAAGAACATATCCTCATCCATTATTCAACCACCATTATGCTCGTCTGAAAACTCGTGCTCCTCGTCATCTCCGCCATACAGAATTTCGCAGACGCCGCCAATCGGTATATCCATGACAGCATCCGTTCCTTCCATCCACAACGTCTTCCAATCCAGCTCCGGCTCGATCTGGGCTGTATTTGTGCTCGATTGCCTACTTTGCCCACCTCCTCGCGCTTTTCCACCGCCTTTCTTGCCAATGCTCCCGTTATGCTTGTGTTTCGTCTGATCATCCGCCTTCCAGCTAGACTTGTCATTTCGTACTATGTTGCCATTCGCATCCACGACCGCAATACTGGCCGCCTCATCAATCAGACATTCCACGCTCTTGAGCGGCAAGGTCAGATGGCCGACATTGTAGGAAGCCAGCGCTACGTAGATGTAGACGATGAGCATGACGGTCCATGCTGGGATGGCGAGAGCCCACCAGCGGTTGGGATAGTAATAAATGCCCAGCTGGTGCAGGAATGGAGAAGGTAAGAAGGACCAGAGCAGATACACAATAAAGGCGAGACTACTGGTGAGGTAGAGTGTGAAGCCGTAGTATTCGTAGGTCGGCACTTTTGGGCTCGCTCGTGGAATGGGTTTTGCAGAGCGGAAGGTGCTTGTCAAAGTCGATGCTGCGGCCGAGTTGGGCGTCTGTGTGCCAGTCGCATGACCACGCCCCTGCGGTCCGCCTTCATCGCTAGACGGATCTGGTGTCGTTGGCCTGCTATTGTGCGTACTGAAATTCGGGCGGAGCAGAGACGTCAGAGACGGCGACGGAGGAAGCGGGGTGGGCGGGCGGCCGTAGAAGGGTGGAGCAAAGGCGGAAGGACCCAGATACGTGTGGCTACGAGAGTGTTGGTGATATATAGGAGGATGTGATGGGAGGTTTGCTACATGGCCATCTTCCTGCTCGCCGTCAGACTCTTCATCGGACGATGCTGGGGACAAGGAAGGCAGGTCGTGGGCGGAGTCCAGCGAGAAGTCCTCGATAGAAGCAGGCTCCGACGGCGAGGTGACATTGTCGCCAGACACTTCGGGAGACAGTGCAGCCGCTTGCTGCGAGGATGTCCCTATGGTAGCATCGCGCTTCGGAGGACTATCGCTCTTGAGAGTCGGCAAGTTCGGCGTAGATTTGCTCTGAGGTCCGGAGGGCACCGGTAGAGACTTCGGCGGCGTGCCCCTGCTCTGCGGCGGCATCTCAGCGCGGCGGCGATGCTGGCGGTGGCAGCGGTGATGGTGCGGTCAGGAAGTCGTCTCGAAATGAAGCTCGCGTGTCGGCAGCCACGCGACGGCCAGGATGACGCGACGTGTGTGCGCCGGAAGGGTTCGGCTCATCGGGCCGTGAGAACAGGGGCCATGGACAAGATCTCGTCTGGAGGTTCCATCGATGTCACGTCTCCACTTCACAGACGCATTGAAAATGACCGCACAAGTGAAGCTGGAATGAACAGAGAGCTCCGCGCGGACATGAACCAGGAACCGACACAAAGCCAGGCACCGCTTCGCGCTTTTTGCTGGGCACAATCGGCATGGCTAGCAGCAGCGTTGCTTGCCTGGGAAGAGAGGCTGACCTGCGCGCGTAAACTCGAGCCCAAGCGAAGGCGGCAGCAATTGTCATGCTATGTCACCGGCATAACGTCTATGCCACTTCGTCCAAGTTGAATATCTGGAGCCTGCTGTTACCGAATCAGAAATTGCCCTCCCGCAGACGACAAGCCCCAGCGACCCCCAGTATCGAGGGTAATGACTAATTTTCCATCATGACTATGACTACGAATGGACTGCAATGCGACAGAAAACACTCGCGACTGGCCCACGATTTTGATCCGGCCCAAGCAATAGTTGACAGCTGCCAAGCCCGTATTCGAATGAATTCGCAGGCCGTGGTTGTCGCTAATCCTTCGCGTCGCTTGAGTGAAGTCTTGATATGTGGAGCTACCCAGTCACACAACGGTAGGATTCAATCATACGCCAAGGCAAGTTCAGATCGAAGTGAAGCAGGGATTGTGCACCAACGAATCTTTGTGTCAGCCTGTCTGCAGGATTTGAGCCAACCAACCTTACGCAGTGTTGCAGAAAGCGTGCAATTTATCAGAAAGCTAAGCCACTTAGGAGCCCCACATACCACATGCTGTGCCGCAAGGCTCAGCAAACGAGCACACGAGCAAACGATGCACAGCGCGCTCCTGTGAGACAGACCGCGACGTTCAGGTCAGTGATCATCTGGCGCCTCTCTTTGCCGCGAGTCTCAAATGTAAATAGGACGATGACAACAGTATCGAATCGTATACTACGCTTCGCAGCTGTGGTGCTGTTGCTCAGCTTCTTTCTGCTAATTTTCAGTTGGCAGTCCACTGCGAGTTGGCCTTCTAAGATCACAGGAACGCTGTCGACAGAGCCCCAGATACCACGTGTCGACCCCGGCAGCGACGATAGAGCCAGGCAACCACGGATATCTTGCAAGGGCGTCAGAGGCGCTCTGATCGATGCTGGGAACATTGTCGATATCCCTCAGGCGTCGGCGGAGCTCTCAAGCGTAGCCTTTACCGAGCCTACCTTTGGCTCGTATAAGGCTCTCAATCTGTCTCAAGGATGGATGACTTTCAAGCAGCGATATGGGCCGTATGGCTACAGCAATGCCACAGCTGCACACAGCGAGGTGGATTGGGATTCGGTTGACTGGGGTCAGCTACAGAGTGATTGCGCAGAGAGCAACCGAGAGCGTTTCGGCCACCTCGATTTCTTCGAGCCAGGTCCGCGATTTCGTAATGTCGGCGATACGCATCTACCCGAGGCCCCACGAGAGAAGACAGGACGACAAGCCATCGTGTTGAGAACCTGGAGCACATACGAGTACCATCCTGAAGACCTTTGGAACCTGCGCTCCATCATCACCGAAGCTACTCTTGCAACAAACGCAGACTATCAAGTTTTCCTGCTCATCGATCTCAAATGTAGCGACCAGCCTGAGTGCAAAGACGTGTTCTCGAATTACACTCGGTACAATCATGTCCTGGAGTCCGTACCGAAGGAGTTTCGCAGTATATCGGTTTTATTTGATGAGAGCCTGCAACGCAATTGGTGCCCCAAAACAGAAGAGTATCGTTCAATGTGGCAGATTATGCAGCCACTTCAGCTGTTCGCCCACTTCTATCCTGAGTTCGATCACTACTGGCAGATCGAAATGGATACACGATTTACCGGGCATGTTGGCAAGATGCTACAGGGTTTCGATAAATTTGGCCGAGCACAACCGTATAAGCAAGCCCGCGAGCGAGCAAGCTGGGCTTACATGTCAAGCATCCACGGCACATACAGCGAGTTCTCGGCTAAGATCAATCAGTCCCTACACGGCGGCGCCACGATTTGGGGACCGGACACAATCAACAATGTCACACCATTCGGCTCAACACTGCCTCTCAAGCCAGAAGACGATGACTTCCAGGTAGGCGTGGGAGCAGATGCCGATCTCCTTTTATTTGGCCAGCTAAACGACGTGCGAAGATTCGAGAAGCAAGAAGACTGGGTGTTCAAAGACTGGTACCTTGGCGGCTTTGCAGACGATGTTCCACGATACATGTCTGTACCCGCACAAGCGAGGGCATCGTACGATCTGCTGGAAGCTGTTCATCGCTCGCAGCATGAATCCGGGTTGAGGGTGCCTAGTGAGGCTACGCTGCCCAGTTGGGCTCTTTGGCTGGGCCTGAAAGTTGTTGGCATTCCACTGCCTCTGTACCAGTACCCCGAGCGGCAACACCATGAGCTCAATTGGGTCAGAAATGGAGGACTGCCTGACAGAATGATAGACGGCATTGCCAATGGCGCAGGAAACTATCGAGGTAGTTCTCTGGCATTCTTTACCCGCCCGGTAACGTTCGATTGGTGGTCGTCACTGGCTGACCCTGTTTTCGAGCATTGGATGGGAACTTATAAGAACAAAAGTCAGGAGAAAGACCTTGAGCATCCTGAGTATGCCGTGGTGCCAAACGAGCTTCCTACTTTTATGAGAGAGTTTGATGGAGAGGTATACATGCCGGAATTGATCATACATCCGCGGAAGAGTAATTCGTACCATGCTCCCGGCTGAACGCGACAAACACAACACTACACATGCTCGCCATCGTGGGAGAAACCTGCAGCTGAAGGAGTAACATTGCCGCCTGGCGCTGGGCCGCACTTGGAGGGAACAACAGGCACGGGGTTCTGCTGGCCCATCTGGCATATTGGATCTGTGCCAGCCACAACCAATCCAGAGCTGCACGAGGTTGGTGGACACAAGCACAGTTCCGGTGAATGCGATTCTCAGGCACGGGCTGACTGCTGAGCTTGGTCTCACTGCATAGCCAGAAGTGCCAGATGTCTGTGGCGCCTTCGCACTGGGACATCCTAGTATCATCGCTGTTGCACTCCAGACAATAGCTGAGGACTTGGTGGTCTAGAAATTTGACACTCGTCAATCAATTATCGATCTAACAGTTACCGATTGAATGGAATTGAGTTGATCAAATCCGAGACAATGCCCAGCCTTCAAACTTTGGGCAGGTGCATGACGCCACTTTCCCAAGCTTGTACATCCAACCTTCAACCACACTTTCCACTCTGCTCCGCCATTTCTCAGTCGGGTTTTGTCCAGTGACACTCTTCATGCACCTCGGATGTCACGGCATAGCTCGAAGTAGTAGCGATGTCACCTCATATGCAACCTCGTCACACCTCCACCGGGAGATCAGCCATGTGGTACCTGAGCAGGAAGGCGAGGATACCATGTAGAAGTGTGCCCCACGTGACCCACAGAACCTCGTAAACCTACAATTCCAGCATGTTTTTGAGGTAGTGT